CTCCTGCCTCTTGAGCTTAAGCAGCAAATGAATTTTACTCTCAAGGGCCATGCTAAATTCCCAAGGAGAGGAATTAGCCAAGATTCTCTGGAATTCCTCCCTTCCCACATGCACGTGGGTCCTTGGCTTCCATTGGGGGGTCATCCTGGGAGCCAGCTATGGCAGACAACGCATCGGGTGTTGCTTTCCTGGAAAATATAATTTCCATGCAACAGAGATTCCTTGTTTTCTTCCTCTGGGGAGTCTGTCTGAATTTAGCTCCTGATGAATCCCTCACTCATTCTCCAAAACCGCAAAACCGGTTTAGGTTTACAGCCCGTGTTGTGTGTTGTCAGTTCGGGCAAAGACGAAGGCACGGAAGGGGTTGTGACCAGACTGCAAAAACTGGAGGTTTGATGTGATGTATTTATAACACCGGTTTATTATCGGATAACTTGTTGATGTTGCTCAGCTGCTACCCTGATCTCTCTCTCTCTCTCTCTCTCTCTTTCTCTCTCTCTCTCTCTCTCTCTCTCTCTCCCCCCCTCTCTCTCTCTTATTTTTTTTTAAAGGGTAGGTGAGTCTTTCTTCACATTTTGGATTGCTGTATCCACCACAAGATAAAAAAGAGGTTGAGACTCTAGAAAGAGTGCAGAGAACTAAGATGATTAAAGGCCTGGAGGATAAAACATACGAAGAACGATTGCAGGAATTGGGTATGTCTAATTTAATGAAAAGGATCACGTGAAATATTAATACCACTTTACAAGGCCTTGGTAAGGCCACATTTAGAACCCTGCATCCAGTTTTGGTCACCACGATGTAAAAAAGATGCTGAGACTCTAGAAAGAGTGCAGAAAAGAGCAACAAAGATGATTAGGGGACTGGAGGCTAAAACATACAAGGAAAGTTTGCTGGAATTGGGAATGTCCAGTTTAATGAAGAGAAGGACGAGGGGGGACATGATAGCAGTGTTCCAATCTCTCAGGGGCTGCCATAAAGAAGAGGGAGTCAAGCTCTTCTCCAAAGCCCCTGAAGGCAGGACAAGAAGCAACGGATGGAAACTCACCAAAGAGAGAAGCAACCTAGAACTAAGGAGAAACTTCCTGACAGTGAGAACCAGTGGAACAACCTGCCTCCAGAAGTGGTGAATGCTCTAACACTGGAAGTTTTTAAGAAGAACCTGGACAGCCATTTGTCTGAAATGGGATAGGGTTTCCTGCCTGAGCAGGGGGTTGGAGTAGATGACCTCCAAGGTCCCTTCCAATATTATTATTATTATTGTCATTCATCGCACAGTCAGCCAGATGTTCAGCCTGGATTTGGCATTTTGTCTACCTATCGAGTCCTTACCCAGGACCTGGGATAGGCAGATGTGGATGTTTGATGGTATTACAGGTATCGTCGCAGGATGGAAGCAGTTCCTAATAAGGCCGCCTTTTGCAATTGACTAATAGCGAATTTGTCAATGCCAATGGTGTTCAAGTGGTGCTCCAGTTGTTTTGGGATTGCGCCCAAGGAGCCTATGACTATTGGTACTACCCTTGCTTGCTTTTGCCACAGTCTTTCTATTTCTATTTGTAGGTCTTTGTATTTTGTTATCTTCTCCAGTTCTTTCTCTTCTATTCTGCTATCTCCAGGCACTGCCACATCCACTATCCAGACTTTTTTGTCTTTCTTATCGACAATTGTTAAGTCTGGGGTGTTATGTTGCAGGTGCTTGTCTGTTTGAATTCTGAAGTCCCAGAGCAGTTTAATTTTATCATTTTCTATGACTTTCTCTATTTTATGATCCCACCAGTTTTTGCTTACAGGCAAATGATATTTTTTGCAGATCTTCCAATGCACCATTGTTGCTACTTTGTCATGCCGCTGCTTGTAATCAGTCTGTGCAATCTTCTTGCAACAGATTACCAAGTGGTCCACTGTTTCTTCAGCTTCTTTGCATAGGCGGCACTTACTGTCTGTTGCTGTCTTCTCAATTTTGACTTTGTATGCATTATTATTATTATTATTATTATTGACTGGGGTGACATGATAGCAGTCTTCCAATATTTGAGGGGCTGCCCCAAAGAAGAGGGGGGTCCACCTCTTCTCCAAAGCCCCTGAAGGCAGGACAAGAAGCAACTTTTCGATGGAAACTCATCAAGGAGAGAAGCAACCTAGAACTAAGGAGAAACTTCGTAACAGGGAAGACAATTAACCAGTGGAACAACCTGCCTCCAGAAGCGGTGAATGCTCCAACACTGGAAGTTTTTAAGAAGAGACTGGACAGCCATTTGTCCGAAATGGTGTAGGGTTTCCTGCCTGAGCAGGGGGTTGGACTAGATGACCTCCAAGGTCCCTTCCAACTTTGTTACTCCATGATTCCGTATCACCTTTGCTCCCCAAACTGCACTGGGTGCTAGTTTGCATCTGGGTCCACTTCAAGGTGTTGGTTGTGACCTATCGAGTCCTACCTGGCCTGGACCTCGGTTACCTTACGGAACCATCTTCATCTCATTAAATCAGCCTGTCCCACCCTGTTAGACAGGGAAGCTACGCTGCAGACAGTGTCAGTTAAAGAAGAGATTGGGGTGAGTGGGTTCCAGGAAGAGACCCTTCTCTGCCATTGCCCCCCCCTTAAAACATCCCCTCCCACAGAGGTGAGGTGGGCTCCCCCACTGCTGCTGTGTGAAAACAAGGCTTTGCAGCACTGCGGGGGGGGGGGAGCCCAGGGGAGCCTGTTAACTGTGTTTAAAAACATCCTTGCCTTGTTCAGTTTTTTTTTTGGTAACTTTTATATCGTCCTTAGACTTGAGTATTTGATTTGTACTTTGTCCAGATTCCCTCTAGGAAGGGGGTGGGCGGCTCAGAAATGTGATAAGTAAACAAACGAACAAAATACCTGGGCTGAATTTGGCCCGAAGGGAGGAACAGGTGGCTTCCATCTTGGCCAAGGGATTCCCCTAAATTCTGATGCTGGGGTTTTAAAAACCGCAGAATCTTAACGGCAAAAAAACGGCAGGAGGAGAGACCCAAGCCTTACTTCAAGAGTTTCTACACGGGTGCGAGAGGAGATGTCCACACCAGCCCTTCTGCCGGGACCCCTTGGAGACGGCAGGTCCAGCTTTAGGGGGTGGCTGGGTGGGTGGGTGGAATCCAGTGTGGAAGAGAAATTAGAAATTTGGCAATCTAGAGACACACCAGCTCCAGATGTTGAAATGTCTGCAAGAATATAGCCAAGATGTTCCCTAGTTGGGTCATGAAACATCTGCAAGAAAACCACCCAGCTCAGAGAGCACCAAGGACCCCACAGTCCTCCTCCTCCTCTTCCTCCTCCTCCTCCTCCTCTTCCCTGCTCACCCCTCTCCCTTCTAGCACTGATGATGTTACCCAGTTAGCTCATGAAACGTCTGCAAGAAAAACCACCCAGCTCAGAGAGCACCCAAGACCCCACAGTCCTCCTCCTCCTCCTCCTCCTCCTCCTCCTCCTCCTCCTCCTCCTCCTCCTCCTCCTCCCCCCCACATCACTCCCTCCTAGCACTGATGATGTAACCTAGTTGGGTCATGAAACGTCTGCAAGAAAGCACCCAGCTCAGAGAGCAACAAGGGCCCCACAGTCCCCCCTCCTTCTCCCCCTCCTCCTCCCCCCCTTCCCGTCCCACTCCCTTCTAGCCCTGATGATGTTCCCTAGCTGGGTCATGAAACATCTGCAATAAAATCCCAAAGATGCTTTTTCACGAGGCAACTCGACTTTCTTGTCCACTTGCCTCGTGAAAAAGCACCTTTGGGATAACTCTAAACCTGGATGACAGAGAATCTCCATAGACGGAAGGAAGGAAGGCGAGATAGGAAACAAGGAAGGGATGGAGGAAAGGAGAGGAAGGGAGGAAGGAAGGAAGGAAGGAAGGAAGGAAGGAAGGAAGGAAGGAAGGAAGGAAGGAAGGAGGGACAATGAAGTCAGGCAAGGAAAGAACAAAAGAAGGGAGGGAGGAAAGGAATGGAGAAAGGAAGGAAGGAAGGAAGGAAGGAAGGGAAGAAGGAAGGAAGGAGAGGGAGGAAGGAAGGAAGGGAAAGAAGGAAGGAGAATGAAGTCAGGCAAGGAAAGAACAAAGGAAGGGAGGGAGGGAAGAAGGGAGCGAGGATAAGGAGAGGAAGGAAGGAAGAACAAGAAGGGAAGAGGAAGGAGGGAGGCAGGAGTGAGAGGAAGGAGGGAGGGAAGGAGGGAAGATGAGTTTAGAGAAGGAAGGGAGGGAAGAGTGGAAGGAAGGAGGAAGGGAACGAGCGAGGGAGGGAGGGAGGAGAAGGAAAAAGGGAGCGAGAGATGGAGGGAAGGAGGGAGGAAGGAAGGAAGGAAAGTCCAATTGCCTTGTGAAAAAGCATCTTTGGGATAACTCTGACTTGGATGACTGAGAATCTCCATAGACCGAAGGAAGGAGAGATAGGAAACAAAGAAGGAAGGAAGGAAGGAAGGAAGGAAGGAAGGAAGGAAGGAAGGAAGGAAGGAAGGAAGGAAGGAAGGAAGGAAAGAAAGAAAGAAAGAGAGAGAGAGAAGGAAAGAGAAAGGAAGGAAAGAAAGAAAAGAAAGAAAGAAAGCCCAGTTGCGTCGTGAAAAAAAACACCTTGGCGTACCTATGACCTGGATGGCTGAGAACCTCCAAAGACACTGGGCAAGAACGCCACCAGGCTCAGAGCGCACCAAGGACCCCCCACCGTTCAACCCTGAGCCTCAAACATTCTCTCCTAACGGTGCCAGATGTTGCCCCGGGCAAGCGCAGCGGCGCGTCCCGGGAACGCGCCCGGGCGATGCTCAGCTCGGCCAGAGGGACGCTTTGCCCTGCTGGGGCGGCGGCCACCGGCGGGATCTCATTGGCCGGAGAGCCTCCCCCCCCACCCTTGCAAACTGAAGTCCACCAGAGGCTCCACCCCCCCCCCCGGCAAACTGAAGCCCACCGTCTTAAAGTCTTAACGCTTGAGCTCTGCTTGGCCACCTGACCTCGTCGCTGCCGGCCGGTTGACTTTCTATGCTACCTCCAGACCCGACCGGGAAGGCGATGAGTCTGGAGCCGGGACGCTTCGCTTCCTTGCCATGCTGTCCCGAGGCTTACCTCCAAAGGTGAGGGGCTCCGACCTGGGAGGAGGACCCCCCCTTTTTTTCTACTTCTGGGGCTCCCTGCTATCTTCTCCCCCCCCCCCCCACTCCCCGGCAGGGACGGCTGCGGGACGCGCGCGAGATGGCGCTGCGCCTTGGCGCAATTGCGCGCGGGGCTCTCCAAAATCGGCTTGCAAAGTGAATGTTTCTTTTCGGAGTGGGGGGGTAAGGAGGGTCTTTATCCCGCTTTCTGGGTCTGGGGGGGGGGGAAGCTCTTTCTGCCTCGGGCGACGAAGAGGCAATTTGGGGTGTGTGTGCCAGGTTGTTTGAGCAGGAAGTTTCTGGAGGCTGGCAAGGCTGCGGAACCGCCAGCGTCTTTACGCTTTCCCGGCTTTGCGCTCCTGGAAGCCGGCTGACGCCTGTTGCATTCAGACCACATCCTTAGCCTGGGTGGAGTGAGGATTGAAGGGTGCGTTTGCACAAACTGGTGAATGGAGTAAGGATTAAACCTGGGTTAGGATTTGGGGGGAGGGGTTGGTTAGTTTGTGTGAAGAATGTCTGTTCGGTTCTTGGGTGGTTTATTTAAAGCCCCGTTGCTCAACTTTAAGACTGGTGGACTTCAACACCCAGAGTTCTCCAGGCAGCCATGCCTGGTTTTTTATTTTCTCCTTTCCCCTAGAGTGGAGAGATTGCAGAGAAAGGGATTACAAGAGAAAGAGAGAGAGAGAGAGAGAGAGAGAGAGAGAGAGAGAGAGAGAATCCTTATCAAGAGGAATGCATTAGTGCCAGGGCATTCTGGGAGTTGGAAGTCCACCTGTCTTAAAGTTGTCAACCTTGAGAACCATGGCACTGGAGAATCCTGTGTAGCCCCAAATGCTTAATTCAGCATCGGTATGAAAAGAATCCTACTTGGAACGGCATTGCTAAACCCAGAAATAGTGCAAGCGTTGGAATAAAGGGATCCTTTCAATGCATCCGCACAGCCTCGTGTTGTTTCCCTGTTGCAGACTCACAACAACCTGTGTGGGTTGTGTTTCCTTGGGTGTCAGCCCTAAGCCACGCCCGGGGTTGCAGGCAAGCTTGGCCCTATGGATTTCTGCGGGCCTCCCATAAGTATATAGGTGGTGCTCGACTTACAACCACAGGTGGGCCCAAACTTTCTGTTGCTAAGTGAGACAGCCGTTAAGAGAGTTTTGCCCCATTTTGGCACCCTTTTTTGCCACTGTGGTTAAGTGAATTGTTAGTAACACGGTCGTTAAGTGAATCCGGCTTTCCTGGGCCGGTCAGAGGGTCACAAAAGGGAATCACGTGACTCTGGGACACTGACGCCGTCGTAAGTATGAATCAATTGCCAAGCGTCCAAATTTTGATCAGGTGAGCATGGGGGCGCTGCACCTGTGATCAACGGGAATGACTTCCTTCCAGAAGTTGTGGGTGCTCCAATACTGAAGGGTTTTAAAGAAGAGATTGGACAGCCTTTTGTCTGAAATAGTCTAGTCCAGGGCTTTTCAACCTTTTCACCCATTGTACCACTTTTAGGATATGGCAACATCCGAGTACCACCAGTCGCCTAGCAAGCTGTCAAAAACTTGATGACCCCCCCCAAAAAAGGAAAAAAGTGATGAAGTACAGGTAGTCCTCGACTTACAACAGTTCTCTTAGTGATTGTTCGAAGTTACAATGGCATTGAAAAAAGTGCCCCCCAAGCCACAGCTGAGCAAGACACCTGCCTGCCCACCCGGTGGTGCTCTTCCTCCTGTCCGAGGTTTCTATTGTTGTGAGCATTTCTGTTGAGGATTGGCAGCTTGTGTTTGGGTTTTATTCCCCCCCCCCCCGTCCTGTCTGCTAGGTGGTTGCAGCAGGTTTTGGTCCCTTCCCATGACCCTGGGACACTGTGACTGTCATAAATATGAATCAGTTGCCAAGCATCTGAATGTAAATCACAAGACCCTGGAGATGCTGCAACATTCCAGCTGATTGGCGCTTCTTCTGGGCTCATCAGAAGCACCAGGATCAGCGCCGAGCTCCAGCTGGAGCCTGGCGCTGATCCTGGCGCTTCTGCGGAGCCCTGACAGCCCCAAAGAAGCGCCAATCAGCTGGAAAGCGGCACTGATCCTGGCGCTTCCACTGAGCCCTGACAGCCCTGCAGCTCCAGCTGTCTCTCGCTCAGGCTTGTGCGGTGCTGCCACCGGTTCAGCTCATTCCCCTCCCCCGCTACCCCTTGTCTAGGATGGGCGCGTACCACCTGCCAGGTGCCCATAGACCACAGGGGGTACCCATACCACTGGTTGAAAAGCCTTGGTCTAGGGCAGTGGTGGCGAACCTATGGCATGCGTCCCAGAGGGGGGCACTCGGAGCCCTCTCTGTGGGCATGCGCGCCTCACTCTTTGGCTAAGTTTTTGCAGGAAAAAGCCATTTCTCAAGCCCCTTCCTAGCCAAAACAAGCCTGTAGAGCGAGCGCGCTGTTTTCAGCTTTGAATTAGATCAAATCTGACAACAGAAACAAGACTGACAGATGACCGGAGTGCTGCATGTGTTGCTCTCAAACTTACAAAGTATGAGCCAAGATTAGACAAATGATCAGCAGGCATACAACAGCAAAAATCGCATTAATTGTTCCAAAGCATGCCAAATGCAAACTTTTGCCTTTCGGTAAAAAGTTGTTTGTATCATTGAAAGCTCTGTTATTGTGTTTTTCTTTTAAGACAAAAGATCTTAATGTATGAGTTGTTTTTTCTCAACTGAAACCTCAGTATTCAGATTAAATTGCCGTGTTGGCACTCTGCGATAAATAAGTGGGTCTGGGGTTGCAGTTTGGGTACTCGATCTCTAAAAGGTTCGCCATCACTGCTCTAGGGTTTCCTGCTGGAGCAGGGGGTTGGGCTAGATGACCTCCCAGGTCCCTTCCAGCTCTGATATTCTGTTACAGACGTGCCGATTGCCGAGAGTTCAGATTTGGATGATGTGACCAGATGCTGCAACAATTATAAGTGTGAAAAACAGCCATGAGTCCCTTTTTCCCCCCCCCAGTGCCATTTTAACTTTGAACGGTCACTATAAATGAATCGCTGTAAGCCGAGGACTAACTTATTATTAAGGTCAGACGGGATCGATGGAGTTGCTCTCGGCCTCAGTTGCCAGTTTTTGCGCATGGAGAAGCCGGGCGAGCCGCTCCTTTGCGTGATTCATATCCAAAAATCAAGCTTCAGTATTCAGGAAATTTTTTATTAAGATCAGATCAGATCAGGCCAAGCCAAGATTTATCCGGTCTAATTTTGTAGTTTTCAGGGCAGGACCAATTGCCCAGGCTGCGACGATTCTCCTCCTCTTGGTTATTCAAAGATAGGTTGCTCTTGAACCTGGAGGTTCTGCTTCGTTTGGATTTGTTGACTAACTTCTGTTTTGTTAATAATAGCTCAGAGGTTGCAATCCGCATCTTCCATGTAGTTTTATTTTCTTTTGGATTTGAGTTATAACTGTCCTTTCAGCTTGTCATTTGCAAGGCAGTTTGGCCTAGTGGTTAAAGCTCCAGGCTAGAAAGTGGGAGACGGTGAGTTCTAGTCCCGCCTTAGGCATGAAATCCAGCCTGGTGACTCTGGGCCAATCACCAGGAGGCTATGAGTTCTAGTCCTGCCTTAGGCATGAAAGCCTATGGGTGACTCTGGGCCAATCACCAAGAGGCTATGAGTTTTAATCCCGCCTTAGGCACGAAGGCCTATGGGTGATTCTGGGCCAATCACCAGGAGGCTGTGAGTTCTAATCCCGCCTTCGGCATGAAAGCCTATGGGTGACTCTGGGCCAATCATCAAGAGGCTATGAGTTTTAATCCCGCCTTAGGCATGAAGGCCTATGGGTGACTCTGGGCCAATCACCAGGAGATGATGAGTTCTAGTTCTGCCTTAGGCATGAAAGCCAACTGGGTGACTCTGGGCCAATCACCAGGAGGCTGCGAGTTCTAGTCCCACCTTAGGCATGAAAGCCTATGGGTGACTCTGGGCCAATCACCAAGAGGCTATGACTTTTAATCCCGCCTTAGGCATGAAGGCCTATGGGTGACTCTGGGCCAATCACCAGGAGACAGTGAGTTCTAGTCCCGCCTTAGGCATGAAAATCTACTGAGTATCCCCATCTGGGTGGTTGTTTTCATGATGTGATTTTAATTACACTGTATATATATCTTGGATGGATAAATGTAAATATTGCTGGCTGGGGAATTCTGGGAGCTGAAGTCCATCTTGGAGTAGCTATGGTTGAGAAACACTCTTCTAGCATCTTCCAGAGTCCTCCAGCCCCCTTGAAGCTGGAGGAGAAAAGCCTCCGACAGGTTTCCCATCAACAATGATTGGAAGAGGGTGGCAATCAAGAGAATTCTTGAGGCTGGGAGAATTCAACTTGGGCCATCCAGTATGGACATCTGGAAAGGGACTGGAGAAGGTCCTTCCTGTTCTCCAGGAACGTGGGAGGTAGACACGTCTCCTCCATGGTGGAACTCCATCTACTCCATATTTTCCTCCTGGATGTAGAGTGGTTCCCAGTTCTCCTTGTTCTGTGGAAACAAGTAACTGCAGGACCGTTTCAACATGTTTTGAGGTGTGTCTGGACTCCATCTGGCTAGCCTGATGGGCAGGGGAATTCTGGGAGTTGAAGTCCACCCATCTTAAAGTGGCTGAGCTTGTTTCGTAGACCCAAGATTTCCTGGTGGTCTCTCATCCTCGCCTGAGTTGGTCTAATATTGCTAAACTATTATCATGGAAGCATATTTTCCGTTGTGCCCATCACGGTTAGCTTGTTCTCATTACTATTTGCTTTGATTTTATGGCATATTGGCATGGTTATTCGTTGTCCGGGGTCCCTAGGGATCAAGGTGGAAGCGTTCAAGAAAAGACTGAACAATCAGCATGCTGTCTTGAGCAGGGGGTTGGACTAGAAGACCTCCAAGGTCCCTTCCAGACTTAAGATTCTAAGATTCCATATATCCTGTTAATCAACACATTAAATAAATCCATTTGTTGTGCTGGGAGGGG